AGGAGCTGACTCAGATAAACAACCACCTCAATTTAATGTTACCATCCTAATGTTCATTCAATAATACTCTCAGTCAAACTCTGCCCAGTCATCACTTCGTTCGCATAGTCTTGTTCCAAGGAGGCCAGCATGCATTTTCATGGAGCACAGCCCCATGCGTCACACCAGTTTTACTGTACTTATTCCATCTTGTAGAATGGTCCCAGATGCTTCATTCTGTTTACACTGGCCTGGTTCATAGCAAGAGATTACAAGAAATTTATTTGAATCAAAGCTGTAAAAAACATGAGCTTCATTTAAACTCAGCAGAGTTTAGCTGTAGAGTAGCAGAAGGCTTTTTTTTTTTTTAATATGGGGAGTCCCTGCGTAACCTGCTGTTCATATCCAAGTGCATCCACTTCATAGTACTGACAGATAGATCACCCAAAAAACAGACAGTTTGGTGATTACACCAAGCCCTCACTTGGACCAAAAAAGACAGCAAGAGCAGACAGCATGAATCAAGAATCAGCAAGGAAATATCCTCTTTTGAATTAGGTGAAAAAAACCCCACACAACAAAGCACAACTCAGGTAGGCTTTAAAAGACACAGACTACAAAACAAAGACACACACAGGTATTTTCTTTCTGTCTGAACAGCTGCAGCAATGAATATTCACTTAGGCATCAAGTACTGTTTATATGCCAATAGAGTTTACAATACTTCCTGAAACAAAAGTTGTGTCAGTTAGCAAAAGACACAAACTTTGCCAAACCTTGTGCGCACACAGTTAGGTATAGAAACCTAGCTCTGCCCTCCAGGACCAAGCCCTTGGTGCTATACACTTCTGAAGGGGCTGAAAGCACTTTACAGACAACCTGAAGATCTTGAAAAGAGCTGCCAATACAACAGCACTGCAAGTGCAGCACCCTGCACAGCTCCTCCAGAGGCCTCTGCATCTGCTGTAACTGTTCAGGCTGGCAGGAGACCCCTCAGTGTCCTGTGACAATTCCTGTCCAGAGAGAGCCAGCCCCTTCCATTCACCAGATGTCTGCCAGGTCTGTGCCAGATCGGATCTCCCAGGGAAGATTACAGAACTTGGAAAACCTCAAAGGAGCAGCAGAAGAAAGGTATTTTCTGAGCCACTATCATTATTCTGGTGACTTAATTACAGCGCTAGAGGGAGCAATGATCTTGGTCAATAGTTTCCTCTATTGCCACTCACCAACCAACAATTCTTGTTGTAATCCTCCCTCGCCACTGAATTTCATCTCTTTCTAGTTCAGCTTTCTTGGTCAGTGGTGCTCTCATTTAATCCTAACACATTGTCATTCTAAAACTCCTCCTCCTCCTCTCAATCTGCATGGACAGGTAACTACTTCTCTTGAATTTGCCACTGAAGGGCAAGAGAAGAGCACTATCACAGCTTTAAGAATTAGAACAGCAACACAATATGACTACAGCACATCCAGGAAATGCAATTTCAAGAGCATATTTTGAAGCACATCCAGGAAATGCAATTTCAAGAGCATATTTTAAAGTCCTCTACTGATAAGTGGAAGTTTAACAGGGAATAAACTGAAGACCAGCTTTTAATTTTACTCACGTCCAACCTCTGATTGTGATCTTCAGATTGTCTTGTTTTGGCAGCTATTGTGCTTGAATTTCTTTCTCCAGGCAGTATGCATGCACACGGCTCAGCACTTACAACCTCTGCTGTAATTTGCTGTGCCAACAAAATTATAATCATTGTAAACAGTCCACATAGTGATTATGCTTCACAAAGCAAGCTGCATGTTAAGCCACCCATTATTCAATTCAGAACCAAAGAATCCATTACACCTGAAAGGCATTAGAATCTTTTCTCTGACAATTACCAGTGTTAAGTCTTTTTTTATGGTATGCCTCAGGTTAATTTGGCATTAACTGTTGTGTTTTGGTGGAGGGGGAACAAGATAGCATTTTGTGTTTCCATGTGCAAATCCAAAAGGCACCCTACTTGCCTATCTTTCACATTTGTACCGTTAGTAGGCATATAAAAGAATTTCTCAGCTGGTAACACTGGCACTGACGTGGAATAGGGATGCAATTGTCTGCCAATTGAAGTAATGTCATGTTGATTATGCCCATTACTAAGCAACTTGACAGCACTAATAGAGAGCTTTTCATTTCATCCTGCTGCAAACATCCAGCTGCTGCCATGTAATGAACAACTCAGTTTTGTAGTCGTTTAAGACATCCTGGAAAACTGTGGGTATCTTTAAATAGGCAAGTAGTCATCTAGGTAAACATCTGGAAAGTTTGTCAAGTCTAACGGGAGCCTAAGAAGGGTAATAATAAAACTGCAGAAAAAGAACGCTACCTTAAGTGAATATAAGAGGAAAAATTAGCTTCTTTTTATGATTATCCTATGCAAAACTTGAGACACCAGTTCTTTCATGAAGGTAAAACTGTTCTGAACTCATACTGGCAGCATGGACTAGACTTGATTATTTGATGCTATAGGAAACCTTTAAAAAAAAAAAAAAACACCCAGCACCAACAACAAGGATATGTGTATTTCTCCCCCTCTGCCCCCATGAGCTGAGCCACGCTAATAGATTATGTGAGCACTTTTAATCCTCTTCAGTGTGTATTATTTTGAACTACTTATCTTGAACCACTACAGAATACAGTTTGAGCTGAGCCAGTTTATTTTGCAACGGCAGAGTTGGTGGGAAAACTTACACGATCACCTGCTTCAGCTCAGCATGGGAGCACCTTAAACCTCTGCTACCATTCCCAGAAAGATCACCCCTGTAGGTCACAGTAGGTCCCTCTGTGGGTTTAACCACTGTTGCCACCTAGGACACTGTTGAGACACCAACACATGGTCCACATGATTAAGGAAGGCTAGAAAGACACAAACACATAGTGTACAGCATTTTTAAAAGAGCAGAGAAACCATTAGGTGCTAGATTTAGCCTAACCTGTGCAGGAGCAGAGAGAAAGTGGAATACCATCCCAACGTCTACTTGCGGAGCAGCAGTGCACAGGCTCTGATCATGCCCCTCTAGCTCCCTTCTTAAGAAGGTGACTACTTGGTGGCCATATGTACATCAGGGATAAACACTGGCAAGGCCCTGTAGGATAGCCCTCAGATAGCAGGCTTGCTGCCAAAACAAACATTTGCTCACAGGCTCCAGCTCACACTTATCAGAACTGTGAAATATCCTTCTTCCTCCACGTACTCCCACTGGCTGGTATAGCCAACTTCAGCTGTGAAGTTCTTCATAAACTGTCCTTTGTTATAGTCTGTTGCAACAAAGTTTCAGCAGAATGATCAGTTTTGTTCGAAGTATTTCCACAGAGTTTTCTCAGTATGGGGTGGAATTCCTCAGCAGAGGACACAGTCCTCTCCAACACAGCCATTCAGCTGAGGCCTCCTCTAGATTGTGGATTCAAGAGTACCCTAACTACCAAAGCTGGAGAGCAAGCCTCTCTGGTTCGTGTTCCTCTTAGCCCAAACAACGATGTTATACTGGAGGAACTCTGAGAGCCTCCTATTTAAAGGATTTGTACAAATTTAAGAGATCCAGTTCTAGTCCCTACGTCTTCCTGTTATTGAATCAGTACTGAAAACCAGGTTTGCAGTATTCCAGCTCAGCACCCTAGATGCCGACTGAGGAACTGAAGAAGGGGGGTTTCCCCTCTTTCTTCTCTCTTGAAGAATACATTTAAAATGACTCCCTTATCTTAATGTCACTTGAGAACGTTTTTTTGGTCTGTTTTTTTCCCCACAAACCAAGGCAGCGGGGGCAGGGGAAAGGGGAGGTTTCCTGTCCAGTTCTTAGTTGTGACGACATAGTGGCTTCTAATGTTCACCCAGAGTTGTAGAGCTTGATCTCTGGTTTGCAACAGCAGCTGAACCAGGGCTGACAATGAGCAAAGAGCACCCATGCTCAGAGCGTTCAGCAGCCCTCCAGCTCCTCACCAGGCTTAATGAAGTCTAATGAAAGGAAATTAACGAGCTTTCTCCCCCCTGTCAAAGGAAAGGGGAGCTGGGAATATGTAGGACCCCAATATGAATTGAACATGATTGAGTATGTTATAACTATTGTTCTGAATAAAACAGAGCTGATATATCTAAATAGCCTACAGCACTCCCCTGTCATTAGAGCCATTTAGCTGGCTCTGCTTTAATTGCCTTTGAAAGCCACCCAGAAAGGATTTATTTTCTGCCCTTTCCAATTTAAAACCAGAGACTGAAATATAAAAGCACTAACCTGCGTCCATTTAGATAATGGGATTCAGTGGGAGAGACAAGAAGGTCAGGAAACGCTTGGTGCCTAACGTACAGGGCAACGTGAACGTGATGTGTATGGACATAGCCGCATACGGAGGATCGTCACCTCAGTCTGAGGGAAGAGCTTCAGAGCTCCAAGTTTAGTCACAGGCTACACAAGGCACCCCCAAGACACTGGCTCTTGGCAGGCACCTGTAACAGAGACTGAAGGTGGCAGGAGAGTGCTCAATCCTGACCCAGAGGAACCCTAGGAGCTGGAAGGAGGCACCACTACACCTTCCCCCTCCTAGGGCTGAGGAGAACAGGAGTCTCCTGGCTCCAGGCACACTCCCTCCAGCACTCAGCTCCTCTCTTCCGTGGGGACTATGATGCTCCCTGAGCATTTGTCTAAGACAGGCACCTCCATCTCTAATGCTTTTCATTCTACTCTGCCTAAAAGGCAAGGGACCCCCTTTACATTCCTTCTTTACTGCAAGAATTCCCTCATCTCAGTCCTGCACAACCACATGCTTCACTGACTAAGGGTAAATTTGCTCTTTGCTGTTAAATTCCATTGAATCTCTAGCTTTCTCTCTCTCCACAGTTGAGAAATTCGCCTGTAGAAAACTGCAGTTGTACCATGGGAGGAGGAAGAACTCCATGTCTTTTTCTACTCCAAGTGTAAACTCACCTCACATACAATTGAGTGTTTGGCTTGGCTCACAGCAATAACTTGGAAACAGCTGAACTGTGGAGGTAACTTCAATAAAGTGTATTGGAAAACACAGAGCAAACCACATCACAGAACATCACAGGATCCTTCCTCCTATGGCACAAGGAATTGTATAGATGCTGTGGTACAGTACTTCACACTTACAGAATGACAGGACCGATAACGCAGGGAAGCCATTAAGACACTGCAGCACATGCAAAAGCTTCATTTCCCAGTGCAAGGCACAGGACACCTGACACAAATACATTCCCTGGGGTATTTGAAAGCACAAGGATGTGTCAAGCAAGGGTAATGGTAAGGCACAGCTGTTATGGTTCTTGATGAAGCTCTCAGACACTGTGACATGTACTGCCCTGAATTTATATCTGTCCAATCACTTGCAAAAAGAACAAAAAAACCCACAAAAGTGATCTAGGTCTAAATAAACATTTTCTCTCCTGTATTCTCATTTGATTCACAAAAAAGCAAAGCTTATTTTCTCCCTTCACATTTAGTTTAAAGGCTCACAGTTCTACAGATCTGTTGGGAGAGAGTACCCAAATCAGCTCTGGCAGTGGAGCAAGACTGGAATCTGGTCTGAGAGTTCTTTTATTGAGAAAAGCCAAGTAGAGTTTTCTGGAGAGAAGAAAATAGGAGAAATGTCTCCACTCTTTCTTGGGGAAGAAGAACGTTTTAGGAGAACCTTTTTACTTCTGTTACTTTTCTTCAGTTGGCTGAAAGAGTCCTCAGATCTCTCCGGGAGGGACCTTTTCTATACAGAGTGCTTAGGAAGATATATGAAGAGGTCAGGGCTCCAGCTTTCTTCCTTAGTTTCCTAGAAGTCTAGTGTGTGACTGAAATGATGCTCCAACATCTTGGTGGGGACAGCGATCTAGCCTCTGCTCCACGCACAGAGCCAGAAGTTCTTAGAGGGCTTTTATATCCCTTGATTCTTTTTAGACATGAGTTTGAACCCGTCATCCAAGATAGACCTCCGATTGCGCCTTAACCTCCTTTGCTTCTCGAGATAGATGACCACTCCCAGAAGGAAGCTGGCAACCAGGAAGAGCACCATTCCTGCAACGGCTAGAATGATGACTGCAGCTTCTACCTGCCCTGGAGCCAACTTAGCTCCAAATAGCATGACTTTCTGGGACTCATCCTCAGGTAGCGTCTCTGAGAGAAAACAAAAAGTAACAATGAGAGCTAGAAGTACCATAACTGAAAGGAAATATGAAGAAAAGGGGTAAAAGAAAGACTTAAAGCAATCAAAGTAAGCCAAAGCAGACCCAACCGTTGTCCATTCAGCAGACCCTCATCCCTCAGGTCATACAAGAATTTGCAGATTAAATGGTTCTTTCCCTTTCTCTAGTCCACTCCATCCCACCACCTCACTGTGTCTCACAGCTATTCAGTCCTATCAGCTAACCACTGCTATCCCAATTCACACAGGAGGTGATCTGAGGTTATCTGGGGATTCAGTAGCTGAGCTAGGAACAGTACAGAAGAACTGAGATGAGAACATGTGTCAGGATTGGGGCTGCTGCAAGCTCCTCACTCTGCTTATAAGCTCATGCTGAATGTGGCTTCTCCTCTTGTCCCATACCATCGTTTTTCAGAAAGTACTTGCTCAGTCATGCCTGTGGTGAGATCTTGAGCTCCTTTATGCTTCCATGGCAAGGGAGCAGAATCCTTTTGATAAGGGTGACTATTTGCATGAATAACAACTGTCAATTAAGGCTTTTCACCTGGTGAACACACAGAGTGATGCTCGAGTCTAGTATAAAAAGAATTACTTAATATTGTCACTGCTGCTCTGACGCATTTCCTACTCCTCTTTAGTCTCATTCTGAGTGAGGAAAACATTGTTGAGAATGCAATAAATATGCAAAGCCAGTAGAAAAAGACTGAAGAGTTGTAGATAGATGTCTATATTTTCAGCCAGTCTAAGCTGGCTCTGAAATCAGCTCAGCTGGGTCTATTCACACCAGCAAAAAAAA